ATGTTTCAGGCAAGAGTAGTGTATGGTATGGACCTTCCTATGAAACCTCTTTACTAAGTGAAGAACACATTAGGGCTTTGTTACTTGAGGTCTTTCAGCTACTGCTTTATGGAAGCTTCTTGTTTTCATTGTGGGAGGAAAAATATGACCTTTACCCAGGACTTTTTCCCCCGGGTTTGTATTTTTGTGTCTTTCTATATATTCTATTGACCAAGCAGCTGTGCTACAGCTTCAACAGAATGGATCTGTGACTTTTTACAGGGCTTTTATTCCAACATGTTCCAGTCTGAAATTTAATACCAACTTTTCCTTGCTCTAAAAGTCCCCATGCAAAAATAGCTGGAAAACACGGGAGTGGCCCTGGGGGAGGATGACATCATGAGTGATGATCACATGCTCTACTTAGAGAAGCCCTTAGCAATCAGGACCAACAGCAAGTGTTGGCATGGCTGAGCACTTGCCAAGGGTCCACATGCCAGGAGAGGTCTTGCTAGCAAGCGCTCCCCTACACACACCCCATTGTAACCTGTGCTCTATCTCTCACTATCTTTCTCACTATGGCCCCAAAAACTGGTGATGAAGAAAAAGGGTAGATGCCATTGTTCATTCGCTTATAGGCTTTCTGCTGGCAAGCAAGCAGATGATAGCAATGATGCAGCAAAGGAAAAGGGACTGCAACAGCAGGTGACAATGATGGTAAAAAGGTAGCTCCACCAAGGGAGGGACTTTGTTAAGAGTGTTTTAAATGCTTCCAAATTCTGAAACTGACACTGTTAGACCTATGTACAAGACTGATCACATAACTGTCTTTCCAGAATCAACATAAAACTGAAAACCATCATCTGAATCTTAAATGCAGCATATGAGAGCCAGTGTGGTGTAATGGTTAAGAGCATGGGACTGGGACTCAGACGATCTGGGTTCTAGTCTCTACTCAGCCATGGAGCCAACTGGGTGACTTTGGGCCAGTAATAGGCTTTCAGCCCAACCTACCTCACAGGGTTGTTGTTGTGGGGATAAGATGGAGGAGAAGATGTAAGCTGCCTTGAGCCCTTTGTAGGAAAAAGGCAGAATATAAATCAATAAATAACTAAATAAATAAAATATGACAAAAGCATGTTTGGGGCTTGTTCAGCCCGCCCACCCCATGCACATAGGATTCATTGCATGAACAATCATAGTTTAATCTTCTTACATGACTGCAGTAGCTGACACAAAAGTCTGCACTTTAGGTACAGTGCAAAGTTAGGCTTGCCTAAAATGCCTCGGAGCCCGTGCTTTTTAAGACCTCCTAAGTCATCTGTACATTTTACACTAGTGTTTTATACTCAGCCTAATGCTGCTATCCTACCTGTATTTCCTGCAGCAAGCCCAGTTAAACATGATGGATGTACTTCCAAGTATAGAAAGGATTATGTTGCAAGCCTGCAATCTTCTACCTACTTATCTGAGTGTAACTAAGTCTCATTGTTGAACTAACTTCCAAGTAAACATTATTAGGGCTTCAGTATAACTTCTGATAATGCATGGAGGGGTTTCATTTCATGGACATTGAACTGTAATTCAGAAGTTTCCAAATAACATCTCTACAGAAGCAAACACATCAGAGCTTGAGGAAAAGCTACCCATACCACCTGTGACATTGGAGCATCATGCTCGGTGGCAAATGGAGGGCACATGAATCCCTTCCAACAAACATAGCTGATTAGCCAGACTGGAATTAGGCAAGCTGAAAAAACGAAAGACAAGCAGGAGAGTAGGAAGCAAACTGTCTTTCCCTCTCCCTCTTTATTATTTCAGTTTTCAATATTTACTTGTTTGACTACGCTGGATCCAAAGATAAGACAGAAATAACTTTCTGTACTTGCATGTGAAATCATTATTGTTGGCTTGTTGGCAAACCCATGTTCTATTCCACTTTCTATCCAATAGAAGGATGCCTAAAAATTTAGATGAAAATAAGAGTTTTCCTTTCTGTAAACATTACTGCTATGTTCTACTGAGTTTGTATAACATGGTAAGCTACTGTGGGTAAGAAGTCATGGTGGGTTGCTATGCAGTCTGAACTCAGCCTATAACATAGAAACAGAGCGAGTCAGAAGGGCCGTCTAGTCTGACTCCTGGCTCTAGCCAGCTCTGCTCACAACATGCCTACCATGTGCGTGTCTAGCCTATCCTTGAACACCCTCGCTGATGGGGCCTCAACCACCTCCCAGCAACCCATGGTTTGTTCTATTGCTTATTTAACTCATGTTGGGCTGGTATGTTGGCATAGGGGGCGAGTGTTTAAAAGTGCCACTGAGTCTTTGGACAAGAATGGTCAGAAACACTGCCTTACCAAGTTGAGTGGGAAGGCATGGCTATATCAGACCCTGTTTCTGAATGGGCCATGACATAGCAGACTGCAGATATTGGCAGGTAAGAGGATGTGCTTCAAAACATGACAGCAGCATTGCAAGTGGTTGTGCAGAGACACCAGGGGTGACTGCAGTATATGCCATATTCTGACGTGCTGCCACTGGGGATGTGCAAGGAATCCATTTTGCGGGTGGGAATACATTGGATTCCCTGGGCTGGGCTCCAATCTGCTTTGCAATAATTCCGAGTCCATGTTTCTGGCAATCATGCCCAGTGTTCATGGGATGCTTACCAGTAAGTGAGCTCAACACTGCAACTGATGCAAAAGAAGTTTGATTGCACAGAGCTCACCAAGGATGGAGCCCTGTGTAACTGCTGTCCAAGCAGCATTCTTCTTCCATGCTATGTGCAGCAGCCATTAGTGCTGCTGCACGTGGCATGAGAAAAGGTTGCTGGCTGCACAGCCGTCATTCCACATGGACTTCATGGACTTCCTCTTGGTTCAGCTTGCTTTGCAAGACCAAGCTGAAGAGAAGCCCATGAATGCCAGAGGGCTAGGGGGATGAGGACAGCAATTGGTGAGGATGATTATTAAAAAGTTAAAAGGGCTCCTTCTGTTAAGAGCTGGGGTTCCTCAAAACCACAGACCTTTCTTGCAAAACATTTATTGAGCAAAGCATTTTCCAGACAGACAAACCCCAGAATGAACAGTTTGTTGAACCCAAGCTAATATTCACCTCCAGGAACTATCCTTATGAGTATGCCTGGGCCCCTTCACTTTGGTAGGGGCCTTCTGAAAATGAGCACACTGCCTTTCTGCACACCTACCCTCCAATTGAGCCATGTTTCTCTGCTGATAATGCGCCATGGGGACAAGAGCCATGCCTGCCTCTTGTCTTTCAGAAACTCCCCTGTCCCCAGTCCCCTCCTGCCACTGTAGGTCTTGGTTATTCTCAGAGACTGCCTGCCCACCTGGGGAGTCTGGCCTTGAGATAGGCATCTCCACTTCACTAATCTTAATGTCTGGAGATAGCCCACATTCCAAGCCCTCCCCCACATCTCTTTCTCTGCCTCTAATTCTTCTTCTTGGGACTGGCCAGCAACCCCTGAGAGTGTGCACCCAAAGCAGCTGAAAGTATTTCTCACTTTCAATACAGGCCAACCCTAGCTGCCACAATAGTTGCTTCGATTAACCAACCCTCCAGCTTCCTCCTGCAGGAAGTGGTGCTGTACTACCTGTCTTTCCTATAGCAGAGCCATTGTTCTGTGGCAAAGAGCCAGCTGAGCAGGAGTATCCCCGACACCCCAGCAGGAGGTGGGGGAAGGAGAACCAAGGAATAGCAGAAGTCACCAGTTATGTCCTCTGATGGAGGAAAAAAAAATAGAGGCAGTACTCAGTAATTCCCATTCTTGTAGCATGTTAAAACCTGCTGTCTCCTTTCCCCTGCTGCTTAGCACTTTTTCTCTTCCCTATTTGTATATTAATGAAAACAAAAATGCTTTGCCAGATGCACATTCAAAAACACTTGTAGGCAGCAAGATGCAACATCGTCGTGCCCCAGGTGGTTCATTGGTGGGACAGAAAGGTCAGTTTCTGATCCATTACTTTAGTTTCTGGCTTTGGGGAAGCACCACAGAATAGAAGCACACTTGCTTAGCTATAGTGTTGGTTCACCTACCAGCACAGAATAATCTGGCACCTTAGGCACAGAGGTGCATTTCTCCTGTTGTACAACTGGGATGCTGTCTTAGTCTGAAGGTCATGGAATGGCTTCCCATTTGTGCTCAGAAAGAGTCCTCTGATCCCCTTTCTCTGCTTTTTGCAAAAGTTGCATGCCCATTATTGTTATTACATTTATATTCTGCCATTTTCCTCTTCCAAGGAACTCAAGGCTATGTAAGCTTCTAACTTCCCTGTTGGAAAGAGTCTAGGAGAGGCTGACTTCTGGATCTGCTCCAGCTGGATTTCTGCCCTACAAATAGCCACATGCGAAGAATTCCACATTGGGAGGTAAATAAGGTTGATACCAGACATTTGCAACTGTTCTAGCCAAATTTTACCTGTTCCAGGACCATCTTCCACCAAATGCCCTGAGTTGAAGGATCCTGATGGTTAGTTTCTGAAAAGAATGCTTATTGTCATTTTATTAAAGTCACCTTGGAAGGATTTGTATCCTGAAGGGGGGCATCTAATGAACTGCAATACGTAACTCCCCCACCTTCCCAAACAGAACTGGGCCAGGAGGTATTAATGGTCTCGCTTTACACTTTTGGCGCTGGGAGCACAGCGGCCATGTAGTGGTTTTGTTCGTTTTTAACTGCATGCGGCCTTCCCTTTGTACTTTTAAAACCATTTTGACTAGCGAGCGCGCTGAGCGCACGAAAAGCGGGCTCTGTGTTCTATGCATGAGATAAATATGCCATAGCGCCCCCCTCTTTCTAGGAAGGCGAACCGCTCCGGGTACAAAGCAGAAGAGCACCCCCTCTTCCTCTTCTACTACGGCCGTAACTACTGCGCAGGTAAAGGCTGCGGTGGGGGCGAGCCCAAGCAGGAGCCAGCGTGCCCCCCGCGTATCCTTTTCCGCCGGTCCCCTTCTCTGCGCCCGCGAAGCGGTTAAGTCACGGCAGGGAGGGGGCGGATGACGCGGGCTCCACGACGGCAAATCCGGAAGGGGCGGAGTGGATGGACTAGGCTACCGGGCCCTGCTTGAGTGACCGCGACCGACTGACTGCTTGACTGGGACGCGCGATGTGGAGGGTGAGTAGGCCGCAAATTTCGCAACCCGTCTGGGACAGTGGGGTGGGGGAGACGCAGGGACGGCGAGCCCCGAGGGGCACGAGTAGCCGGGGAAGGAAAGGGGGGAAAGGGAGGGAAGGAGGACGCGGCAGGCCTACACCCGGGTTATGGCGCAGCGAGGCCGGGCCGGGTCAAGTGAGGCTGCGGGGGGCAAGTGAGGCTGCGAGCTCAGTCGGCGACAGGGTGAGTTTCAGTCACAGACAAAGCGGATGACGGTGACGAGAAGACGGAGGGGGTGGTGGGGAACCCGGCCGTTGTTGCCGCCGCCTCTCCTTGTTCCTTGAGAGGGCTTCCATTGTAGGCCCCTCGCGACTGCAAAGGGTGGCGGCGGGGTAGTCGGAGCCAAGAACCGGCAGTTTTTCTTTTCAGCCTGCCCTTTCGAGGCTTGTTAGCTGCCCGAGAGGCCTCAAATGCAACTTATTTCCGTTCACCTTCCAGTGTTTTTCTCTCTTGGGCCCTGCTCCAAACCTTGGAAGCCCCTTCCACGCACGCGAGCTCCTCGCTCGCATTCTCTGTATTTGGCTGGGCTTTCCCGGCCTTCTGTTTCCTTCTGCTCAGCTCAGTGCAGTGTTCTCTTCCCCCTCCCCCCACGCACATCCTATCAGTTTCTATTGACCTGACACGCATGATGTGCCCGACTTGCGAAGGCACTTGGATAATACCTTGCGTATTTTATTGGTCTTTGAGAAAGCCTTTGCAATGTACGCGGTAAGCATAAGGAATAATTAGTCTTTATAAAAAGTTCTTGAACCGTTTCCTCAGTTAGGGCGGCTAAGAGGTGGAATTTACTGCCAGATTTTAATACATGTTTATTCTATTACTCAGGTTTAAATAGCAGAACATACACTTTTGTATACAGTGTAAGTGGCTCCTTCACTAACCCCAATTGCAGTAGTAAGTCTCTTGTAACTTGCTCTCTCACCTCTCCTGCTGCTCACATTGATCTCCCTTAGTGATTAGAACATGCAGCACCTCCTATAAGATTCTCATTTCAGTTTTGCCCATCATGTGATTCCTTTCATTATCTCTTTCTTCTTGCCAGTCTCTACAAGCCCTTTGCTTGGCTTTCTGAATCTAGTTTCAAAGCAGTTATTTTTCACTTTTTTCCTAAACATGGTGCTACAAGAGCTTCTCTCATTTACCCACCTCTCCTGTGAGCCATGTGTACAAGTTTCCAGCACTCCTGCTGTGAGTCTTTGTACTACCTCTCACCACTTTGTAATTGCATCACCTTTTGGGCAGGTGTTTTTGGTAGGAAAAAGGGAAGACACTTTTTAATAAGATGGTTTGCATCTCTGTGGGAAAGTAAGCATAATTTAATAACCATCATTATTTTTTGCTTACATTTGCTAGTAAGCTGTTTCCTTCAATACCTACTCTAACAGTTACATTTTGGGAGAGATAATCTTTTTAATCTTGACTTATTCTGCAGGATACCTTCATCAAGAGTGATGGTGAGGTAAATGTACTGTGTGCTAATTTAGGATGGCTTTTAAACATGTTAACTTTAAAAAAAAATCTGACAGAAGTTAAATATCTAATCATTCTAAAGTATACTTGAATATTGATGCAAAAACAGCAGAACATATTTTCCTAGCTGTGTAGGTAGCATGGGACAGTCTCATAGTAGTTCAGTAATTATACATTAGTTTCAATGCTTTGGTTTCTATAATAAGAAAAAACACAAGGTTTATTTTCCTGGAATTTGATGACTCTTGGATGGAATTTTCTGTATGCCATTGAGAAATGGTTTTCTTCTGCTACAGGATTCTACAGATTGTGGAATATCTGTATTTATATGACTCCCTATCTTGTTTGGATGGAGATATATCAAAATGAGCCAGATGTGGTATAGTGGTTGCCCTATTGGACTAGGAAGACCCAGGTTTAAATCTTCACTGAGCCATGAAGTTTACTTAGTGATGTTGGGTAAGTCAGTGACCAGGTTTGCTTGATCATGGAATGTGGAGTATGCCACAGTGACGTGCCAGGGGAATTTGAATAACTACATTAACTGGCAATGTTTGCTGTTTTGTGTGAACCTGGAGAGTGTCTTGTTGCTGTCATTAACAAGCTACCCAGAGGCTGTTCTAGAGTTCTGGGGTATCCTGTTCACCACAGCTACAAGTCATCCTCATAGGGTTTGCATGACACATCAGGCTGTATTAGTGGAGGTAATTATTTAAATACAACTGGCATGGGGAGAATAAACCACTGTGGTTTATTTCTTCTGTAATCATGCAAACAGAACAAATTATTTTTCAGCCTACCTTGTCTCACTGTAAGGATAAAAAGGAATACTGGTTATTTGAGGTGCATTGATTAGATTAGTTCTTTTTTTCTGTTCCAGAAAGAATAGAGAATACTCCACTGAATATGAAAGTATTAGAATATTGTAATTTATATGAGGTAATTTTAAAAGTTAATAGAACTCATTTCAGGTAGCACTAGTTAACAGACATGCTTAAAGTTGGCACATCTAAGCATTAGTATGATTAGTGCTATAGTACAATTCTTATATGTCTAATTGTTCTCTGGTCAAAATTGAGCAGAACAATTTAATTGTAAGTTTGATTATTCAGTGCCACCTTCATTGTTAAATGCATGAACCAGCATACTTCATTCTGCAGAATGCATGGGAATGTTAGCTGTCACCTACAAAATTTCTTGGAAAAGTCAGATTGTGATAGATATGGCAGTGTTTTGTTTGTAATGTATTATCACTACTCAGCTGCTTGAATGAGCTGTGGGAGAGTTTCTTAGTAGGACACCAAATAAATGCATACATACAACAGGTATATTTATGATTAAATTGATAATGTTTTCTGTTTAAATGCATCTTCTCTGCTTTTCATTCTTGAGGTAGTTAGAATCTACTGTTTTAATATTGCCTTATGCAGATGTGTTCTGAGGAACATCGCTTGATGTGCTATAAATTGTACTTAGATTTATGGATTTGATCTTTTTCTTTTTATTTTGGTTGGTTGTGTTGGATAAAATTTTAGCGTAACTTTCCAAATGATTGTATGAGCTTTTAAGAGAAGCTGCTGATAGGAGTTTCCATGATTGGGGACTGTGGAAGAGCTCATGAGTGTGCCGAAATGGTCTACAGGTTATTCTAGGAGTCATAGTCCTTTTTTCTGTCTAATTATACATAGGATTGCTCCTTAAGGAAGGCTTAATAATCCCTAAATATAAAAGTTTGTGTCTGATTTATTATACCTGTATTTAAAGGGAGAGTTAGTAAATATGATCATATATTTAGTTTAATAAAATAGTAGCCAGATTTTCTGTTGTTCTTTCTACATTTAGATGAAACATTGTTTACAGAATAGGTTTTAATAAGTCATAAATATTAAAATATAAAGTTGGATTCAGAATCTTCTGTCTGAATCGAAGGGTTTTGCCCCTGGTAGTCACCTCACCTTGATTTTGGGGATTATTCCTGTATCACTGCCCATCTCATTCAATATGATCACCCAAACCTTTATGCGGCAGTTTCAGGGGGCTGAAGGAGCTACTGTGTGGAGGAAGTCTGCTTCTCCCAGCCCAAATGTGTGCACCTAAGCTGAATTCAGTCCTAAAATATTATTTTCTTAAGTGTAGAAATGAAATGAGTCTATCATCTTGCCTTTCTTGAAGGTGTTTCCTTCTCTCTTGGTTTCCTAAGTGGGGGTGGGGGGGAATGTTGCCTCTGTTTTGGGATCCTTGCATGAGGAACAAAAATAAAGTGTTTTAACAGAGAAATATGTATTGCCTCCATTCTGTTAAAATTAGGACCATCTCTTGATTAAAGAAATATTGGTTAATCATGAATATAATGGGTAGATTAACTGATTAAATCTGTATGGATTTGCATTTCAGTGCTTTAATAGTATTGAAATATTTATTACTTTAGATGAGGAATGAATTGTTATAGCAGACACTAACTTAGAAGAAGCACTCCCTATTGTAAGGAGATAACTCACATCACTGGGGAAAATATGTCTTTTCCAGAAAAAAATACAACTGATTTTTTGTGAAAAATTTCCAGAGCTCTAAATAATATTATCTGAGTCAACATGTTTATTTAACTCATTTTTATTCCTCAGCACACATTCTCCTTCAATCATTTCACAAAATATCTCTGAGTACAGAACTAAAAACGTAAGCCATGTCATTATTATGTGTAGCATAAATATATCAGAAGTTTTTCCAGTAGCCCCAAACTGAACTGAAAATATTTAGGGGAAAATTAAATTTATCACATAACATTTAAAATATATTGTTTAAACACATTCAAAGCTTCATTTGGAAATTATTTTATTGGGATATTTGAAAAAAATGTGTAATTCCTTATGATATAATTATTTGTTAAATTTGTTTATATTTAACTACTCCTTAAAGAACACACTATTTTTAAGAGCTGATATGCTTTAAATCAGTGTTTAATTTTCTTTTGCTGAGGTACTTATTGCACCTTTAGCTTCACTCATTGTCTGCATTGCTTTTTGATTCCATTTCAACATGAGAAAAATCTGATGAGCAACTAGTTTAATATTTTCTTTTACTAAAGAATGGACTTTGGCAGGAAAGTGGGCTACTGTATGAACAGAGTGCTGGACTACATGGACCCTTGGTCTGATCCAGCAGGGCCCTGCTTACATTCTAATATGATGTTTATTCAGAGAGTGAGCTGTTGTGTTATTGCATTAGAATGTGAACTAGGTAAGCCAAAATGACAGTAATGTGAATAATAATAATTTGTGGAGAAACTGTTTTGCCACTGAGATAGCCTACAAAGCAAGTGTGAGGCATGGGTTGTCAAGCTTCCTTTGTGGTGTCTAAATATGTATAAACCTGTACTTTTTGGAGAGTCTCCATTAAACCATCTCTTGGCCCGTGATTTGTTCTAAAATTGCTTGCTTCATTTTATACCTACCTCTGTAAATATACCTAGTTGTTTCCTAGTGTCTTTGCTAATGATCAAAACAATATTAGGATCATTCTTTAATGTTCTCAAAGTTGAAATCATTTTCACTGTGGTATACAAGTATATAATGAATCTCTTTCATTTAGTTTCTTGGTCATACAGATTTAATCTGTGGATCATTCTTCTACAGTTATAATCTCAAGTCTGTTTGAAAGAAAACACTGCTGGTGAAGTTTTTGTTAAGACTTTTTCACAATAACTTCCTGACGCTTCTCAGTTGATAGTTCTTGTTTGTAACAACCTTGTAGAGTCAGTGGCTGAAATGCACATTTTAGTTGCCAACTCTTATAAAGGCTATCAGTAAATTCATGCACAAGCAGGAATTAAACCACTTTCTTTCAAGTCTTAACTAAGCTTTTGGTTGACCATGCTACACTGGAACTTAGTACTATGTATGTGTTTGTATTTCTTTCTTAAATGGCTGTCAACAGCCTAAACTTGATTTAAATAACATCTGAGTTAGAACTAAGCAGTCTATATTTCTTGTTATTTATAGATGGGATAATGTTAACAATAGCGTAGTTGGATGTTGAGTCATATGGCTTGTTCTGGATGTCGAAGGGCTGCTTTGGGGAAGTGGCTGGAATATTAGCCTTGAGCACATGAAACAGCCTCATATCTCTTCATAGCTATAAAGCTTCTTTGATGACCTTGTACAGGTTACTTTCCATTAGGCTAGCCAATCTGATGTGATTGTTGTGACGTTATTATACTAAACGTGGCTTATTGAAGGAAAAATACAGATTAAGTAACTTAAATTTCATGGAAATGCTAGAAGCCTCTGAGCAGAAATAGAATGGAAATGCCTGGTTTTAAAGGAGAACCTAGTTAAAATTGACACTATGGAAACCTGTTGGAATGGAGGGACCTAGTGAGATAAGTCATATCTGGATATAAAGTGTACTGAAAAGACTAGGAAGGGTGTATTGGAGGTGTTGCTATTTACATTAAAGCAGGTATAGTGTTGACTAGAGTATAAAACCTAAAAGGTTTCTTTCACAGAAGTGCTGGAAGTGAAAATTCTGGGCTCCAAAATTAAGCTATTACTAAAATCATGTCATTCCCTAGACCAGAATGTCCAGGGTGATCTTGAAACAGAAATAAAATCAAGAAGGTCTCTAAACATAAAAAGTGTTGTAATAATGGATCATTTCAGTTATTCCCACCTTGGCTAGATAAAAGTTTATTCCAGTTCTGACAAAGATGTCAGATTTTTAGGTGCCAAGATGGACTATGCTGTAGGACAGATGGCCTTGGTATGAACTAGGGGGTGAAAAGTTCCAAAAACATTTATCCAAACTGGGGTAATGTTTGTACAAATGCGAATGCAGCTTAGTGTAAAGTGATGCAAAAGTCCCAACCTCAAGCATATGCTGATAGGATCAGTAGTAGTAGTGACTGCCCAAAAAGAAATCTTAGGGTTGTAGTAGACAGCTTGATGAAAATGTCAGAACAGGGCAACACCCCTTTGAGAAAAGGTTACAGTATTTGGGGTAGTTTAGCGTAATAAAAAGATGATCCAAGGGGAGACATAGTAGAGGTTTACAAAATTGTATATGTTATAAACAAAGTTGATACAAACAACAAAGTTTTTTTCTCCCTCATAATACTGGAAGTTAGGGTGGTCTCTTGAAGCTGATTACTTGGAGATTTAGGAAAAAATTAAAAGGAAATACTTTTTCATATGGTGCATAGTTAAACTACACAATTCACTTCCACAAGGTGTAGTGATGGCCTCCAGTTTAGATGGTTTTTAAAGTGGATTGGACAGATTCATAGAGAAAGCTATCAATGGTTACTAGACCTGCCAGTTGTATGTTTGATCCAGTATCAAACACTATGTCTGTGTTTACCAGCTGCAGGGGAACATGTGCAGAGGATGCTCATGTCCTAATAGGTTCCCATGTGCAGCTGGTTAGCCACTGTGAACAGATTGCTGAATTAGAGGAATTGTTCATCCTGTCCAGCATTGCTGCTCTTAAATTCTTAGTTATTCTGATGCCTCTTTTCTAGAAGCAGTGGGAAAAAGTTGTCTGTATGAAGATCTTTGCAATGAGATCATTCCCACCAGAGTACATATGGTGGGAAATCTGACAGTGGTGTTGGGATCCTTGGGTGGGGATGCTGATTATGCACCTTCCTCAAAGAAAAGTGGTTTAGAGGTTTGTATGTTCACTTAGCTAACATACTTACACTTTTTACTAATATTGAACACTTCTCTGCCATGGTTAATAACAACCACAAATAGCCTTTTGACAAAATTCAAAGAAATGTTGCCACTTAGGGAAATTGGCATTACTCAACCTGGTGTTCTGTCTGCAATACTTATCATCCCTTTCTAATACAGCCAAGAATGTGTTGCCTGGGATATGAATGTGTACTGTGAAGGCGCTTTAGTTCAGAATGTTTCATTCTACTGAGATCCTTACACTGGATCACACAGTTTTGCTTTATATTTTACTTTGGACCAAGGTATAGACTTTCTCTCCTGAAGCTAGGAATGTAAAACCATTTTGTAATGTTGAGACTTCACTGGATGCTGAGCTTTACTAATATTTGTTTTGTTATGCTGCAGCATTTGTGTTTGTGTTCATGCATTAGTAGCTATATATGTGTAGGTTAGATTCACAAGATTGTTGACTCTCAGTTCAAAATCCTCCTTGGTTACCTTCTAATGATGCCAGCTTCAAATTTCCCAGGGAAACACTCTGTATAGTAAGAAACACAATAGGTGTGATTTCTGTGTAACATGCTTTTAAAAATAAGTGAACTCTATATAACTTGGTTATATAATACTTATTAAAATACTTGAAATACAGAAGTACATGCAGTGATTTCAGTAAGATTAATAACATGTTTCTAGCCATTACACAGTGATTCTGTGTCTACTACTGGCAGCTTATCTGTTGTTGTGCTTGAGTACACCTGTGTGTATAAATGATAACTTTACTTGAAAATTAAGTAGACTTTGGTGTGAGTATGTTTTCGCATACAGTTATCCATGATTTTGTTCATGACTTCATTTGTTGTCTTATCAGTTCTATACTAGTTTCACTTGTTTAGGGACTTAGCTGATAATGTCAGTATGTCTGTATTGCCATCAGCACTGCTTTGTGACTTGTCAAGATGCAGTTATTTTATATAGTTTGAGCTTTAACATCATTACCACTGGCTCTACCTTTGGCATGTTATTTTTCTCAAATGGATTTTCAGCACAGTAAGTTTGTTAGTATTTAAGGTACCACAAGATTTTTGTTTGTTTGTTTGTTTTTTATTGCACTTTGGCAGCTGATCATGTGATGATTAGTGCAGTCAGAAGACCTGACCATCCATGGGGAAATATCTTTCTGAAGTTGGCAGACCTCTTTCCAAATGTTGTATGACATTTTTCATTTCTCTTTAGGGAAAACTGCTTATGCTCTTTCATGGAAATTTTGCTTCAATATTTTTCAGTGAATCAGGCAACTCAATAATCCCTTTCTCCCCTCCCCAGCAGGGTTTTCTGTGAAACAGTATCAGTCTTCGCATGGAAAGAGCATCCCTTCTGCATGACTGCAATAAAATTTGGAATGTTGGTTTATTTCTGTCTCTGATGGAGGAGTAACCACACATCTCACTGCTTCACTGGAAGATTTCACGAGAAATACAAGATGTCATCAAATAGGAGTCAGAACCCGCATGGACTTAAACAAATTGGTCTTGACCAGATATGGGATGACCTCAGAGCTGGAATTCAACAAGTTTATACAAGACAAAGCATGGCAAAGTCTAGATATATGGAACTCTACACGTATCCTAACATACAGGCTAAGTAATCAATTATTGATGCTTATGTCACTATAGAATTCTCTTACACAGAGAAAGCAATGAGTGGCTTTAGGGTGCTTCTAATCTCTTCAGTTGTTATCTTCAGTCATGCCAAGAGAGTAAAGACCATGAGTTCATTTGAACCTCCTGATTTGTTTAAAGTTTCTGTGGTTTGAGCTAGAAGTTTAAATGAGAACGTGAAATAGCTCTTGGGCAAAATCTGAGTCTCTGACTCATTTCTTTCATATGCCGACATTAACTAATAGCATATCAAGAGTATCCTCTCTAATATAAATCTCTTCGTGAATTGCTTGGATTCCCATTATATATCTCATATTGCCTCTCAGCGTGGAATATAAGTAAATGTGGGTAAATGGTAGTTTGCCCTGTCATTAGAAGATTATGATGTTTTACAACTGCCTCGGCATTACTTTTTTCCAATAGTGCATTCCAGTGAGAAGAGCAACTATTTTTAAGGGTATTCAGATTTGAAAGCTGACTTTTTATTTAAGATTTGAATTTCTTGGAAGAAATATGTGTGTATGGATTTATATAAATAGCATTTTATCCCTGGGTCCTCAGAAGTAAGTTTCATAAGAGTTCAGTGAAGCTGACTTCGAGTTAGTGTGCATAGGATTGCCTCCTTTGATGTTTAGAGATATAGATATTAATGTGTTGACTAGTTTACATCTGGGCAGTTCTATATTTATAATGATCAACATATTGCATCAGAAGTGGAGTTCAGCATGTGTTGTATCTTGGCATACATGTTTGCTTACTGTAAAGAGGCAGCTTTTATAGAACTGCCCCAGTGATTTTTGGCTTAGCTGTAGCATACTCCAGATCACATGCATCACCATTATATGTTGTTTTGAGTCCTTGGAACACTAGTTGTTGTGGAACAGATAGGAAAGATTGTAAACATAAGTTGAACAAGCAGCATTAGCTTCAATGTTGACTATAAAAACTTTATAGGAACAGTATAGCAGTATTCTGATGGATCACACTGAAGTAAGAGATATAATTGTGCACATGTATCTGTTTCCTTTATTACTTTGGAAGAAGGTCAATTTTCTTCTTTGAATTTCTTTTCATATTTTGGGGCAACTCCCCAGATAGCTTTTCCAGTTCATATCTTAAGCAAGTCAACATTTAGTTTGACAATATTTATTTATTTATTTATTTATTTATTTATTTATTTATTTATTTTATATCCTGCCCTTTTGCCTTCTAAGGAACTCAAGATGGCTTGAATAATTTCTGTGGATTGGACATCGTATTCATGGTTGACATTCTAGGCATACCTTCACTAAATATGTATATTCATAGTTAAAATGGATAGGCTGGACTCAGATAATGCAACAAACCATCATGAGTGTGATGCCAAGGTGGGTTGTTGTTGTGTTATGCAAACTTGGTCCATTTCCCACAGGATGGTTTCTTTGTGGGCAACATGGTACACTGACAGTGCATAGTTTGGTCTTGGGATGTAGCATCCATTGTGGGTTGTCATCTGAACCCAGGCAAATAACCCAAGTGTGGACATTGGGAAGCAGACAGAAAGCATCTTGGGAAGAGCAGAACAACCCTTGCTGCTCTTGGCAAGCTGTCTTTTGTATTACATGCTACAAAACAAAATCTAAACCACACATTGAGGAGAAAAAGCAGGAAGAAAGAAAAAGTAAACTAAAATATTACAGGGTTTTTTGGATAAGATTTTAAAAGATCTGTGATGTTAATTAGATACGTTGCATACCCTTATGTATGTGTATAGAGTAAAGTATGCTACTGTTAATAATTATGGATAAACCATCAAAGACAGCCCAAATATAGTAAAACATTTGTAACTTACTAAAGGCCTCCTGTTCAAAATTGGAAAGTTTCATTAAATCCTGTTGCCACAGGAGGCCATTTATCCTTCCAACTTTGTAGTATTAAACTTTTAACTGTTAAAAAGGTGCCTTTATATTGACCTTGCCTTAAATACTAAGAGATGTATAAATGGTTAAAAAGGACATGTGTGTTGTTGAATATTAAAGAACTTTCTATCACAAAATTTATCTGAATTGCCTTCTTCCAAAAGGAGGCAATCATTGGGTATTAGTGTCATTACATCTCCCAACAATTGTCTGATTTAATTAAGCCTTTCTCAAAGAGATATTGTGGCATCCAATTCAAAACATCAATTTTTGCTGAATTAAATGTAACCTAAGATCCATTATACTTTCAAAAAATATGTCAGTGACGGATTCTATTATTGCATTCTTGCTAAAAAACCCTGTTTCACATATTTATTAACTGATAATAGATATTTGTGTACATGAATTGTAGACTAATGTAGCTTTTCAGCCTCAGTCAGTACTTCCAGCAACACAATTGGTTTTGAAACTGTAAAGGCATCAGAGCCAAGCCTAAATTCTAACAAATGTTTCAGTGGCATATGTTGCTATGCAGTTTATAATTAGCCCACAAAACAGAAAATGACAGAAAGTTACCATGGCCAACAAACTGATCCAAGCTTCCCCCCCCCCACCCCCCAAAAAGAAAATAAGACCCATCTGTCCAGGTGTACTACACAAAACATTTCTTACAAATCTTTAAATCCAGGTTTCCCCATTTAAGAAAAAGTTAGTTTTGCATGTGAAGGAAGTCAAACTGTAATTGGTGAGAAAAGATGTGCCATGCCTTTCTAACTATAGGAAACACATTAACTATTTTATTACAGCTTCAGCTACTGGCTGATATGAAAATGTAATACATAAATAAAATATAATGAGAACATGAAGCATTGTAGTTAGGAAGAGGATCCAAACATGAAGATTCCAGAAATGACCAGGGAGAGGAATCTAAGTGGGAAAGACCAAAATTTAGTGCAGACCCAATGAAAGATCAAGAAAGCTAACTCTGTCATCTTTAATCAAAGGTTACATCCTTTTCAAGAATATTTTTGGAGTGGAACCTATAAAACTGAGGGAGAAAACACTCATTGAAACTTATGAAAGTATATGCCAGATATAAATAAAGGATTACCACATATAACATAAATGAGTTTAGATATTAGGTTCATTTTAAGTGTATGAACCCTATCCTATAAACTTAGCTTAAAGGATATACATCTCAGTATCCCTTGAGATCTTATTCTGCAATATGGCTCTAGGAATAAGTGTTATCCCATAAAGTTTTAAGCACAAATGTATTAATATTATGATATTGTTGTCATATAGCATATTCAATCGATTAGAAGTACATCTGACATATCAATGGGGAAAGAAGACGTCCTTTCTCAAATAAGAAAAACTCAGACAAAACAGTGTTGGTCCTAACTCTGGCTGTAAGGGTTCCATATAAAGTTTTAACCCATTTTGGGAATTCTGGAGGAAACCAAAATTGCTTGTTGTGATGAAAATATATTTCCAATAAATTTTATTAAAAGCTTTCCCTGCATCCAGACAGATAATAGCAGCTATATCTCTTTTCTCATTTAATATTATCAGATCTACAACCAGACTGAGCATGCCACCTCCCTACCTATTTTTAATGAATTCCACTTGATCTGATTGGATTAACAACCAGACCCCAATAACTCATTGTGGCCAGTCAGCCAAGTTTACAATTAATATTTTGTGTCAGCATTGATCAATGAAATAGCTTAATGATTAACACAGAAGGTATGGTCTCTATCTGATTTAGAAATTACAGTAATATAAGCATCTTGGAGTACTGATGAATGAGAATTCCATTCAAAAATAGAATCTTACAAATAGAATCTTTTCCATTCAAAAATAGAATCTTGTGAACTAGAAAGCTGGAAAATGTTTTATACCACTCTTTGGGAAATCTGTCCAGACTGTGATTTCCCCATTTTTATGTTAGCTTCTGCTTTCATGATTTCCTCAATCTACAAAGGTGCCCTTAAAAACTGCCTTTGTAGAATACCTAGATAAGGAAGATTAATCTGAGAAAATAGTGTTCATATCCTGCTCTCCTACTTCACAACCTCTGCCACACAATTCTGAATAACATTTTAAAAATAAAGGATGAGCAGGTATTGTCTTTAATCACCAAATTATGGTGCAATATTTTTGTAGTCTTAAGTTGATGTACCAAGATCTTTCTAGGATGATCACTATTCACTGTTTGTCTTTCTTAAGTATGCTGCTTGCTCTGAAAAACAATATTCGACTAATATCAGATATGCTGCAACTCCCATTAAAGTTTGACATTCAGAGAGGTGGCAAACTGACTTATAAAAGTTTTCAGCCTATCATTTAAGGCTTTTTATTGCTGCTTTAAAAAATCTTGCTGAGCAGTATAAGCAATAATTTGACCCATGAGTTGGTTGTACCCTCCTCATTGATTTCAAAATATTCTTATAGCTCAGCAAGATGATGATTTTTAAAGGACTCATTTAACAAAGAGACATTACAGTACCAAAGACCTGTAGGCCTTGGGCTGTTTGTGAATAGGCAAATAGTTCAGTTTTACAGGCCCTGATTTGGCATAGTAGTGATCTGAAAATCAAAAAATAATCTAACAGAAGACATAAATGTGTTGTCTCTTTCATCTAGATGCATTATTATCCGAAAGGCAATCAGGCCACATTTTTCCATATAAACCTGAATTGCAAATCTCAACATAGCTGGTCTCTTGGATCCAGTGTATTCCTGCCCAGGAAGTTAAGATCTTGTTGAGATCCCTCCACCCACAATCCCATAATAATAGTGTCAAGCAGTTGCTAAAGCATTAATGAAACATGGTTGGGGATTCATTATTGGGCCCATGCACATTAATCAAAGCCATTACTGTCTCATTGTATTTTCCAAGCACAACCAAGCTGCCCTTCAGAAATTTCTCTGCCGGTTAGAGATTCTGTACTGCTGCTGTGACAGTTACTCATGAAGAGGGAGGATACTTCCAATCTGGTGTCTCTGCTTTGACCATTCTGCTTTGGGTGATCCTGCTAAGAGACCAGATTTGATCTGG